CCTGGGATTGTCCTTGAAGTGCACTAAAATCCACCTACTGCACTTGGATATTCAAAGGCTTGATATTAAAGCATGAGTGGTTCTTTTGACTGGTGGTAAAATCTTTACTCAAAAGATGAAAATAGCCTCCAGGACTAAGGATAAGCATTCACTCAGTCCTGGAAAACTGCTTCACCAGAAAATATTTGTCTCACTGTAATACAGACTGTATGCACTGTAGCATAAATTTATGCAGTAGCTTGCCTAAAAAACACAAACTCTTATGGTGCAGAGGTCACCTAAGCAAGAGTAAGTGCAAAAGAGTAAGCCTGTCAAACAGTAGAAAATAAGCTCCAAGAAGGCTAGACAAGAGCATCCTTTTCTACATGAACTTCAAGTTCAGAGGAAAAAAGGACCACAGAAATATAGAAAATCACAGACCCTGGAAAATGAAACTGTAAAAAGCAAATATTGTAAAGATTTCCAAGAAAGAATATTAGTTTTAGGCTTACAGGCAGCTTACTTACACCTCAGCCACCTCTGAAATTCAGAATATCAAAACACAATTTTCTAATGTGCAGTAACAGAAGGAGTAGGAATTACCATTATTTCCTCGGATAAATGCATCCCCGTACTTGTTCTTTAACTGTCCATTTACATATTCCTCGGTCTGCTCCAGAGCTATGTTCATATATCCATCCAGGCAAGCCAGGACACCTGAAAACAGTGGCAGTTTAAAAGAGAATCAGCTTGAATTTATTTTAAAATTAACAAAAATGCATTGTGTTTGAATAGTACAGGAAAAAAACCCACCCTGTACCTTATAAAAAACTAAAAGCCTAAGCATGGGCAAATCTTCAAAAAATTCAGCTGGGAGAAGGGAATGTCAGGCACTCTTGTGGCAATATTATCAGTTGGAGTAAGAGTTGTGGGAGTAAAAAAAAGGAGTTAAGGCATTATTTCAAAAGATGGATAATTTTCACTTTGAAAGTTTAAGCTGTCCCTTCTCACTTGTGTTTTAAGCACACACCAAAAAGCCACCTGTGACATTAAGTGTAACTGGATAATTTAAGGACAAAGCTATGTAAGCTGTGTCCTTCACAAAATTTGTGAAGGCTATAACTGAAAAACAACCCTTTTAATACAGGATAGGATACACATATTTGTCTTCATGCTTATAGAGCAAGAAGAACACTGGCTGCAAATCTTTGATGTCAACAAAATTCTACATGTTTTTTGAAAAAGGCCACTGAAATCTTCCCACAAAAATAAAATTACACTGTTTTCACAATGCAATTAAAGAAAAAAATGTCATTTATAATAGCAGATGATTTTTTGGATCAGGAAAATACACATTTCAGTAGCATACAGGTGTAATACAGCTTTCTACAAGTGGCTTTATCTTGCTCTTGCATGTAGGCTTTCCTGACTTTATCCTTGCACATACAATACTACTCAAATAATATTTTCTTCTGTTTGAAAAATACTCAGTGATTTACCTAGGAGTAAAACTTGACATATAGTATATTGGCTGTACTTAGGAAGAGGGAGAAAACTCAGGACACATTCTCATTTTTCAGAAGTGTTACTGCAGGATCTTCTAGTTAATAATAGGAATTCAACTTCTTCTGCCAACTTGTCATGGCTTAAAGATTATTATTTTCCTTTCCGTTTTTCTCTCCTCAGTTTCCACAGACATAGAAAAAACTGCTCACAAAGTGCCACTAAATGCACCAAAAAGACCCAAGCCAAAGTCAGGATTCTTTTCCACCCTAGTAATCCCAAGGGAGCCACACAACAGAAACCAAAAGTATGTTTTTTCGAAAATTAAAATGAAACCATGTGGATTGACCTGAGGTACAACTCAGTAGGCCATAAATACAGTCTTTTCAAACTCTTTTGTTCACAGAGTACATTCACGCTTGTTTCATTCTCTTCCTCCTTTACTTTGTGTTTATTCTTACACCACTAATGGCATCAAATATTATCACTGCCCACCCTGGTTAGCAATTTATCTGTTTTATCTGTAGGTAGAGTCTGATGTATGTATCTGTATTTACACACAGAGATCATACATTAATGTATCCCTGATCGCTTCCCAGGGCTTGGATATTTGCAGCACTTGGCAATGGTTCAAGACATTTCAGTTACACATCACCACTTGCACGAGGCCATGTTGGTGCATATGGGGCCTCCGAGGGTGGAAGCAACAAAAAAAAACGACAACACAGCCTGGGGGAGAATCTGGACAGATCTGCAACCACAGCCCGAGATGCTGTTTTGTAAATGTTTGGCTTTTTCAACTGGTGGTCACATTTCTGCAGAAAACAAAGTGCATATTTTTCAAATGTTAACACTACACGGATTTTCTGTCACAAGATCAAAGAAGTGCAGGGAAATAAGGAAGGGAAGGGAGGGAAAAACCTAGTGACAAATAAGAGTGTTCAAGGAACTCTTGTTCAATTAATGTGGTGTCCGATTGTAGGCACATTAAACTAGCTTTGCTGAGGGGAAGGTTGAGTAGTTCACCTACAGCATTTACAAATTGATCTTACTAAGGGAAAGGCAGCAATGGTCTCAAAGAAAATCTGGTTTGGCCCTGCCTTGTGTGTACCCTCAGATAAATGATGACTTGCTTTAATTGACTTTACTGAAATCTCTCTACATTCTCCTGCACTAAAGAATTTACAGAGAAGCAGTGAACTTTTTAAGCCCCCAACCCCACCTGAAATGCTCAGACAATGTGGTTCTCAAAGAGATGAGAGACTGCAAATTTTGTCAGCTGAGTGACACTGAAGAGAAACAGGAAGGAGTAAGAAACCACTGCTTACTCTGACAGTGAACAATAACAACTTAACTGTCATAGCACAAAGATTCCTTGTCACAGCACAAACAAGTGTCCTCTCACAACTGCCAAGCTAAACTACTGGAACTAAACCTCTCTGAAGAAGGGATCTGTTGCAGACCCATAATGTTTAAGTCATTACAGAATAAAATTTCTTAATTGAGCACAACAGAACAGACATGATTAATTTTGACTGAGTTTAGATACTACTAAAAAAATTGATCAGGTTGATACTGTTACCTAAATGGGAGCAGGACCAGGACATTTCACTGCACAGAGAAGTTTAATTTACAGGTTTAAAAAAAAATCTATAATCCTATATACATGAAGATATACTGACAGACTGAAGAAATCAGGAATTAAACTGATGGGCTGTGTTAAAATGAAGTTGGCAAAAGCTACACTAAACTTTTTCCTGTATCTCCGTGAGTCTTGATCCAACACAGGTCTAGGCAGTTGTTTAACATAAAAGAATGTCAAGAACACTTTCATCCCTTATGTAAGAATCCTATTATTATTATTATTCTATGACAGCATAGTTTACTCTGAAGCTTTCCTGGATCAAGATCTATATTACATCCAAATACAGAACAAAATGGTGAAGAAAAGTCTAGTTCCAACAAGGAGTGTTTCTGTCTGTGTCAGGAGTTGTAATTCCAGACAATCTTTCCAAGTATCAGTTTAGAAACTCAGAATCATCCAGTTTAATCACTTGTGACCAAGGACAGTAATGATTTATATCAGTAATTTTAATCTCTAGATCTACTGTTGTTATTCCCCTTTCTATCACTTTCTCCAGAACTGATTTTCTATTTTTACTGTCACTATTTTCAGATCTCTATTCTCATACTCCATGATTCTGGATCACACTCTTTTTCTTTTCAAAATCAATGCATCTATTCCAGCCTCCTCAATGAATTACTTTACTCACTGTGAGAGACAGATGGAGAACTTACCTCGATAATCAACTCCAGAATTTAATTTTACAACAACTGGCCTTCCAATGATTTGTTTTAGGAAGTCACTGGGGGTTTGCTTCCGTAGACTCATCTTGATTTTCTCTGGTAAGCTGAGAAGTGAAGAACAAACATTAGGAAAAGAGACGTGCTCCCACATTGTTTTAAATACTCTGTACAGACAGCCAGCCCCCTGACTTGTAATACTTTCAGTAGGAGAAAATACTGAAGGAGATGAAAGCAAAACTTTAAGGGTTGAGGTGGGGGGACCTCCTATAGCCATTGCATTAAACTTTCCCTTTGGCATTTTTATTACTTCTGAAAGTATCACTAAGAATCCGTGTTTGCCATACTGTGCATCGTTTAAATTTCCACAGTGCCAAAGGCCCCATCATCCCTAAAACCTCTTGCTAAAATGGTTTCAGAGGGCTAAGCCATAAATAGGTGTTTATAAATAATGCCTTTAGGGGCGGAGGGAGAAGTCCATTCATGCTCTATACACGGAAGTCTGTGCGGGAACAAGAGTAGTTTTAATCTCAGCTCACCAATAGACGAAAAGTGTAAATTTAAAACCATTCCTTGAGATAATAAAACAGACTAAGTTAAGGCTTGTGATTAAATTACAGAGGAAAGATGCTGTGATTTAAAAAAGCAGCAGGCGCACCCAGTTTGGTGCAAGACCCCCTCTCAGTCAGTGTTAGCCTGACTTCTGCTCTAATATCGCTTTGTTCTGTTTTAAGCCAAAGGCAGAACACATCCACACGGTGCCGACTTCATTTCGCAGCTTCCTGGGGCACATTGCAATGGGCAATTCCAGCCGTGAATCCAGGGATCCTCTCTGTTTCCCTCTCAACACCCACAGCCACCAGCGATGCTGGCGCCCCAGGGCTGCGTCCCTTTCCCGGACCACACACGCGTTTGGAGCCGCTCCCCGCGTGTGGAACCCTCGCGTTCCAGCCCGGCCCCAGCGCCCTGGGGGAGGTCCCGGCCGGAGAGCGCAGCTCCATGCCAAACCACCACGGGGAGCACACGCAGGGCTCCAGGCCGGCTCCACACTCACCGCCCGCCGCAGCTCCCGGCGCTTCCCGCGCCCCTTCCCGGCGCTCCCCGCCCGCGGCCGCGGCCCCGCCCCGCTACGGCGGCCGGGCGGGACAGTCCGCGCAGGGCCCGGAACGCGGGGCGGGCCCGGAGCTGAGGGCGCGCCCCTGTGCCCGGGGGCCATGGCGAGTCTCGCCCGGCCCCTGAGGCCTCGCGGGGAATGGGCCAAGGCCTTTCACGGAGATGCGGGCGTTTTATATGTCTTGCTTAGGATTCCACACAAAGTAACACCCCATCGGGGAGAAATCTTCCAGGAAAAAGATGTATTGAGGAAAAAAACCGCACAGGATCAGTTAAGTTTTGGGAAGGGCCTCAGAGACCATCGAGCCTGTTACCCAGCACCACCCTGCCAGCCGGACTATGGTACTCAGGGCCACATCCAGTCTTTCCTTAAACACCTCCAGGGATCGTGACTCCACCACCTCCCCGAGCAGCCCATTCCAATGTCCAATCACCCTTCCTGTGAAGGAATTCCTCCTCATGTCCAATACAGTCCAGTATATTGTTGTATTCTACTCTAATGAGACCCTGTTAATTCCCAAATGATCTTGTCCTTATTGGAGACACAGTGAGCACCTCACAGGCACCCTGTCCAGGACCAGACAGGAAAGTGCTGAAGGTCATTTCACAGAGGAATCAGTGAACATAGAAACATAAGAGATTTTTTAAAAAGTCACCTGGGAATAACTTGGCACAAGAAACTGAACTCACCTTCTACTCTTCTACTTCTCCCCATCATCGCACTTGTTTTTCCTCCTTTCCCTCATCTATCTCCTGATGTCTGGAAAATACCTTTTTTTTTTTTTTTTTTTTTTTAGGATTTAGTACTTTGACAAGAGTTAATCATCTGTGAAAGCTTCTGGACTGCTTTGTTTTGTTGGATTTTTTTTATCTGTCCATTATTGATTTAGTATCTTGCCAAACCTCTCAATTCTCATGATACAAAGAAAATGTACCATGGCTTTTCAGAACACAGATTTGTATTCTCGCTTCTTTCTAGAGTTGTTTATCTTCTCTTTTTGAACTCGTGTCCAGTAACAATTTTTTTCTCCAATGCTTAAACTAAAAGGCTTTTAAGAGGCAAGAGCTGCAAGCCTGACCTTTTTCACCTGCCTGTCCCAGAGTTCAAGCACAGGCAGGGACAGGGAAGTTTGGCCACACTGTGCTTGTGTTTCCAGGCAACCATCATGTTAATCAGGAGCATCCAACTGTGCTTGATTATATCTAGTATTTGAAGCAGAAAAGGAACATAAAATAGTTACTCCAGGGAGCAGACTTGCAAAGTTTTATTTGGCTGCCTGGCTTCAGTGAGTAATGCTTTGATACGAGAATATTCCTGTTTTCATTGTTATCAATCTCCAGTATAAAGATTGGGCAAATAAAACTTTCATGTCTGGGCTGGTAAATTTGCATGGCAATTTTGCAAATCCGACTGGGGACACTTTGTTTTGTGAGCCTTCCTCTTTGGTTTATTTCTGACGAGTTTTCCGTCAGAGCTTTTTTTTTTTTTTTTTTTTGAGCCATCAGAAACTGAAACTGATGAGCTGTTTTTCCTTTTTGCCTTCGGCTCAATAGGCTGCTTTCTAGCTAGCTGAGGTTTATACTTAATTACAGTTTCTACATGTGTGGATACTTAGATTGTCTAGTGTCAGTCAACAAAATCCTTGTACTTTTCTGCTTCACAGCCTGTGAACCTCACAAACACAGCGGATTTGAATCATGAGCATTCAGATTGGCAAGTTCTGTATCCTTAGCTCCCTTCTTCCATAGTTTGAGACCAAGTCATGAACCCAAATCTTGGGTAATTTTCCCTGGTTTGCCAGAGGTCTCAAAGCACTCTCGTGTGCTGTTCCTAGAGGTAAATTAGCCTTAGATGGACTCCTTAAGTATTCCAAATCTCCAAAAGTGAAAACGGAATTCAGATGTCATTGGCTAATGATTATCTTTTGTTTGTTTGTCCTCTAGATGAGAAGTATTTTGATGTAAAATGTTGCATGCCTGGCTCTCAGTAGATTGTTTTAAATACTGAATTGCTTTATCTTTTCCTAGTGTTCCATGGTAGAGCTTTTTCAGCTGTATAACTCATGGAAATCAGCGAGATGCTGCCCTTGTGTTTTAATCAAGATGAACTTGAAAGGTGAACATTGTAAGTGATAGAAATTATTTATAATTTGGTAATAAAAGTTTATGTCTAGCACTCCAAATTTCACACATCTGCTATGTGCTGGCCTTGAGATAGAGAACAATTGCAATTGCCTTTACATTTGGCCTCAGATGAAAGGTCATAAATTACAATGATGGAGTTTGTAGCCGTTCCCAGCTCACAAAATTTCCATATTAACATCTTCACCTCAAACATAAATGGTTACAGAGTTACAAAGAAAAGAGTTGTGTTGGCCTTTGTCAACTGAACTTTAGGATGGAAGTCTGTGGATCATGTACTATTGCTAACTCTTAAATATAAAAGCATCACAGAATCCTTGTTCAGAGGAATTAATTAAAACTTTACAGTTAACTTTAAAAATGAAATAGGATTTTACTCTCACATGCTCCCTCTCTCCCCTGTCAATGCAATAAAACCCACTTCAAAGTTAGGAAGGTTTTTCTCTCCCAGCTACTTGAAATAAAAGCATTTTCAGAGTGAGATGGCTACAGAACACAGAATGGGTCAGAAGGAGTGTCCAATTTCTCCTTTTCCTGTGAATTGCACATCGTTTATATAAGTTAAGTGCAGATGAACAACAATCCAGATGACAAAAAAATGTCTATGGCACATTTTGAATTCAGCCTGAACAATCCCCAGCTACACCCAGCAGATGAATAAAAACCACAATCTTTAAGCAGTCCTCACCTAAAATTTGTGCCAGAGAGGACAAATCCATTCTGGCCCAAATCACAGCATATCACGTTTAACAATTAATTTTGGTGCCTTCTTTGGTTAGAAAAATAGGAAAAAAGCATTTTTAAAAATTATGTAATGAAGTAAGAGGCCAAGATCAAGTTCCAAAACCAGGGGAACATTTCTTGTTCAGAGCCTCTGAGAATGGGGAGGTAGAAGGAGGTGCTAGCCTCCATGAAACAGTGTTGAAGTGGAGAAGCTTTGCAATTCAAGATCAGGACTGCTATTGCACTGTTTCCTGAGGACCCTGATGCAAACATGATAGTGCATTTCTGGGGTTTGAGAGGTGGAAGGTAAAATTCTGCTCCTATTGAAGCCAGCAGAAGTTTTGCTAATTACTCCTCTGTTACTTAGGATGCCTCTGTAAGTTACTGAAAATACACCTGAGGTCTCAAAACCTTCCTTCTGGAGCTATGTTCTTTCACTGTGATTTGTGCTTCTTAGAACTGTCTTTTTCTGATGTTCTGAGTGTGAGGAATAGGACATTAAGGAATTGAAGGGTGCATGCAGGAGCAAGAGAAAGGAAGGAAGTATTGGGACCTTCTTCCTTTTCCTCCTTTGCAAACTTTCTGGTGGACAAGGAACTGTCAGCAGTTCTTCCAGGGAGCTGGGGAGAATAATGTAAGAACTCAGCCTGAGACTTTCTGTCTCCTACACTTTCAGTTCCATAAAAAAGAAAGGAAGATCCTCAGAAGCTTTCAGAGTTCACTTAACCCCCTCCAAGGAGTGCACTCCTTGGTTTCCCAAGGGACCAGCTTTTTCATGAGCATTAAGAGGTCTGATATTCCCATTTGGATGGGAGAGTTCAAGCCTCTCAGCATGTGAATGATTGTCTGTGCCTATACAGTAAAACTTCAAAGATGTTTTTCTTCATAAACAGAGGCTTAGTTTTCCAGCATTATTTCTCATGCTGTGCTAAGATCATCAGAACCACTGATTTCCTTCCATGTTCCCAATCAAAAAGTTAAATGTAATTTTGAATGGAACCTTACTCAAAAAAGTGTTGGGTTTGTGCTATAGATTTTAGATAGAAGAGCCTGACAAAATCCTGTCATCTTCAACTTCTTACGCTGTGCTTACCACCTTGGGTTGTTCATCTCCTATATGGCTTAAGTGGCACAATGACCCTTTGTCACATGTTTGTCTCTCCTACTTTCTGTCCAGTTAAAATATAGAGTGATAGATCATGTCAGGTTTGTGTTTTCTATTAAGCAAAGGCTGGAAGCCTCACTTGATTCCTTTTTGCACCACTTAGCTAGACTTTTTTCTAAGGCATGATGGAGTTGGAGCAAAGCCTTTTGTGCTTAGACTCTATAAAATATTTACATCAGGGTAAAGACACATTCTGTATTTTTTGCTTGTGCAGTATCAATTCCAGATGGCATTTCAATGTAAACTTTCCCACATCCAGTTCGATGAAGCTGATTCAGTATTTCACGTTGAAAATTCTGGCATCAAGTTTAAGCCCAGACATGAGTTGAAGTGGTCACTTTAAACTGACCTGTTGGTGCAAAACATCTGCAAAGTCGGTTTCCAGCTCCCTAGAAATCTTCTGATGCAGACTTGGGGTTATGAAGTAATATCAGATTTGTAGTGTGGTAATAGCAATATATGACTTGTCCTGAATTTCAGTGAAAAAGGAAGGTTAAAGTGTGTTCAGCCACCTTAAGCATTTAGAATAATGGATATTATGTTACCATCACCATTTACTAACAGCAGAGCTCAATTTCTTTAGAAATAGAATGCAATATAATGTCAATGTTAGGCCACTCCTAGAGCATTTGTGACATGGTATTTTCCAATAGGCCCAAATTTCTGGCTATTGACTAAAAAGTCATTATTTCATGAAGGGAACAAAACAGAATGCAATTATTTTGCAATACAACAACAAAAACGGATAAAATCAAAAGGGAAGACTAGAAGACTGTATCTGTATGAAATATACTGTTTTGCTGGGAATAGAACAATAGCATAAATTTCCTATTTGTCAAAAGTTAATTTTTCACAGAATACATTATACAACTCTCTTGTCTTTTTAACTCTAATATAAATTCAATGGATACTCTAGTGAAAATAAAGGTTCTATCTATAAATATAGATCTGTCAATCTGGTGTGACTGCCTGTGGCCCAGTCCCTGGGGCTTGCAGTTTCAGACGTAGTATAACCTCAAACACAGTGTTCAGATCTGATTCCCTGGTGTTCACACATGCCAGAAAATATTTCTCTATTCTTTAGTCTTGTCTGCTTTTACAAGAAAAAAATATTCCTAGAAAATTACATAAAACAATATTGAAGGTTAGGTACTAACTCTTCCAGACCTGCAA